TAGTAGTAGTAGTAGTAGTAGTAGTAGTAGTAGTAGTAGTAGTAGTAGCAGTAGTAGAGAGGAAGGAACCCTAAGCCCGGTGAAGACTGTCTGAATTGGAACCAATAATAGCTAGGAAGCTACTTAGAGACCTAAAAGGTCACAAGATGACTGAGCTACACTTGGTGATCCTACTAAAAGTCAAGGAATGTCAAAGACTTCTGGCTTTCTCCAGCAGCTGAGGGAGAGGTGAGGACCACATACTTTGGGGAACTGCCGAAAGGAATTAGTCCTGCTGATCTTTTGACCTGAGTTTCTGCCCACCTCCCAGACTGTCTAACTTCTGGTCTAAAGTCACCCAGCTTGCCACAGCTGCCACAAGAAACTAATACCCACTATGAGATCTTTGCAGGGTAGTTCCTGCCATCTCTTAGAACCTGTCAGTTCTGAAGCATGCAACCACGCCGGTAGGATAAGAGAGTGGACAGGAAAGGAGGGGGCAATGGAAAGGAGAAATCAGCTGGGGTGGAAGGGGTGGCTTGAAAAGCTCCTGTTACAAAGACAGTTTGAAATCAAGGCCAGAGACTGTTAGGAGAGGTGTGATTGACTAAGCATGGGCTCCTCTCCTCTGGCCCTAAAAACTGTAGACAGAGCTGGTGACAACCTCGTCACTGAAGAGAGAAGCCAGAAGAATCACTGGTTAGCCACGATGTTTATGCCTACACAGCTGTCCAGTAAACAATCACAAAAGCCCATGTAGCCATCACCCTGAACGGATATGGTTGAAGTCAGGACACAGAAGTGGGACAAGGATGGAGAGGGCCAGCTTTAGACACCTGAGTCTTGGTGCCTCCAGTGCCCTGATTCTCATTGCCCTTGTAATCCAACAGAACCTGAGTGACTCCCGGAAATGGATGCCCAATGGTTTTTCTGTTCAGGAAATGAAGTTCAGCCTCTACCCACATCTTCCACCAAAGCCAGGCTTCCATGTTGCCACAACATAGCTCTGGTAAGCTGGGCAGCTCCGGAGCATCAGGTATGGAGACTGTTTCTGATTCTGGGTGGCGCTTGTGTCTCTGAAGGTATCAGTCTTGACTTTCTTCCCTCTGGCACTGGTCCATGGAGAGAGGAAGTCCCTTCCTTTACCTCCTTCTACATAGACTGACTGAGTACCTTCCATTAGAATGTGGCATTATCAACTTGGGACATAGTTTTTTGTTTTGTTTTGTTTTTCAAGACAGGGTTTCTCTGTGTTGCTTTGGAGCCTGTCCTGGAACTAGCTCTTGTAGACCAGGCTGGCCTCGAACTCACAGAGATTTGCTTGCCTCTGCCTCCCAAGTGCTCCACCACTGCTCGGCAACTTGAGACATATTTACAACCCCTTGAAGACTGCCTGTAATTGGGACCTTGAGCTACTATTTAGAAGCCTGGACTATACTGTTGGACAGAGGCCCTGAGGAGAAGCCCCAAGCTGCCATCTTGTCCATCCAAATAAGTTAGGCCTTCAGATGACCACAGCCCTAGCTGCTTTCAAACTGCAAATATATAATGACTCAAGGAAGAGGCTACCTGCTGAGTCCTGCCAACTCATGCAACCATGACAGACAGATATAAATCAATGGGGCTGGAGTCTATCTAGTTCAGGCAGATTATTTGCCCAGCACGCACAAAACTCCCGACTGGATTCTCAGCATTCTAGAAAACCAGGTGCAGTGCTGAGCACTTTATAATGCTAGCTCTCAGGAGATGGAGGCAGGAGGATCAAGAGATCAACGTCATTCTCGACTATATGTCCAGCTGGAGGCGATCCTGGGCTGCATAAGAGTTTGTCTTATGCTGTGCGGTGGTGGTGCATGCCTTTAATCCCAACACTCAGGAGGCAGAGACAGGCAGATCTCTGTGAGTTCGAGGCCAGCCTGGTTCATAGAATGATTCCAGGACAGGTTCCAAAGATACACAGAGAAACCCTGTATCAAAAAACCAAAAAAGAAAAAAAAGAAAAAGAAAAAGAGAAAAGAAAAGTGTTTGTCTTACTAAATAAATCATGTTTTAGGGTACTAAATTTAGGGTATCTTGTTTATATAGTCATCAATTACTGGATTAATGTGAATGGTTTATTATCTCTTTGCCATCCTTGTACCCTGGGTCTTTGGGACAGAGGAGGGACACCATATTCATGTTCCTCTTGGCGGTTTGACCCAGTGGTCTCCCTAGCTTTGGTAACCAGCTGCGGTTACCAAGGGTGGCCCCGCCCCTTCTGGGCTTGGTAGGAAGCCCTTTTACTGAGACCAACAAATATTTGTAAAGCAACCAGACACTCACGGCTCTGTGATGAATCGAAGAGGCTGATAATGCCTTTTATTTGAAGAGCCCTAAACATCCTGCCAAGCACTCTTAACCTGACTAAGTCCACTCCACCCACGACAACCTGCACAGGGAGCAGGCAGCAAAGCTGCCTTTGAGGCTGGGCAGGAAATGCATCACGGGCCCCGCGGGTCACGTGTCTTACTGTCTGCAAGTCTTCGCTCAACACTATCCCCCAAGCCATCCTGGAGGGTCGTTCTGGATCTGGTCAGGCCTGTTCTTGCCAGGTTGAAGGGACAGAGCAAGGAGGTAAAAGCACAGCGAGGGTTGTTCTGGGTACCGGTGCCACTTCCAGGTATCAGCGGTGGCTCAGGCGTTACTCGTAATGAGTTACTTAACTTTTCCAGACCCCAGTTTTCTCGTCTGCAAATGGAGGTGTCTTAGGGTTTCCGTTTTTTTGCAATGAGGCACCATGACCCAAAAGCAAGTTGGGGAGGAAAGGGTTTGTTAACCAACTTACACTTCCAAATCGCTCTTCATCACCAAAGGAAGTCAGGGCAGGAACTGAAGCAGGGCAGGAACCTGGAGGCAGGAGCTGATGCAGAGACCACGGGTGCTGCTTACTGGCTTGCTCCCCCTGGCTTGCTCAGTTAGCTTTCTTTTAGAACTCAGGACCACCAGCCGGGGATGGCACCGCCTGCAAGGAGCTGGGCCCTCACCATTGATCACTAATTGAGAAAAAGCCTTTCAGCTGAATCTCGTGGAGGCATTTCCTCAACTGGGGCTCCTTCCTCTCTGAGGACTCTAGCTCGTGTCGAGGTGACCCAAAACCGACCAGCACAAAGGGTGAACTGTGGAGAGCTCTTGTGAGCCCGAGGGAAGTGACCAACTCTGGGACTGGACTGACTACCTGACTACGTAGAGGAAGTGGCTCTGTATGAGGACGGGATGAATGTTATCTGCAGAGCCGGAAGAAGATAAACCTGAAAACCTCCCCACTCCACCCCACCCCACCGACACCAGAAACTGCTTTCTGCTTCTGCATTTCCAGGCGGACATGGCTGGGTGCCGCATTCAGAGAGGAGCCAGCGAGCACCAAGAACAAGGGTCTGAGCAGTGTGCCTTGGAGGGGATTCTATTAGAAACAAAACTTTAGAAAGCTAGTGGTTTCCGTCTGAAACACAGAGGGAGACAAGGGCAAGAGATGTTAGCCAGCCTGGGCTACAGAGTGGGACCTAGTCTCCAAGGGTATCCTTCCTCCACAAAAAGGAACCATTAGAAGAGGCTTGCTAATAGGGTCAGGGAATGTAGCTCAGTTGATAGAGGGCTTGGCTAGTGAAAATTATGCACCCCATAAACCTCTCCTCCACTGCAACAATCCTAGTAAGGCCAAATCAACCCAGATTAGAAAAAGCCCAGGTTTAATGGATACCATGCTCGCTGACAGCTTTCCAGCCCCCCAGAGAGGAGACAATGGGAAAGGAAGAATGGAAAACCAGGTGTCTGTTTTGGGGGGGGCAGTTTAAATACCCCGTGGGAGTGGTCTTGAGCATCTCTAGGGAGGGATCATCGCTTGGTAGGCCTCCTGAGATGCAGCAGGGTTTGGAGAGAGATGGGGGAGGGGGCTTGGAGTGGAGCTTTCATCTGAACATTTCAGACTCTTTGGATATATGGATGCCAGGGGCTGAGGTGAAGCGTCCATCATCCAAACAGCTATCATGTCCAAAGCCTCGAGTTTGAATCCTAGTATTGCATAGCAAACCTGGGTACTGGGTCTGGAGAGATGACTCCGTGGCTAAGCAGTGGCTGCTCTTGCAGAGGACCAGGGTTTGGTTCCCAGGATCCACATGGCCGCTCACAACTGTCTGTAACTCCGGTTGCAGGGGAACTGATGCCCCCTTCTGAACTCTGTGGGCACTGCCCACAGATGATGCACATGTACATGCAGACAAACACACACATGAAATCAAAATAAATACATCTTTAAAAGAGGAAGAAAAGAAACCCAACCGGGTAGAGCCGCATAGGCCTACAGTACCAGCACTCAAGAGGCGAAGAAAGGAAGGAAGATGGGAAGTTCAATGTCATCCTTGGCTGTATGTCAAGTTCAAGGTCAGCCTGGGCTCCAAATGAGATCCTGTTCCCTAGAACAATTAAGAGCAACGAATGTGCTGCTGGGAATAGAGCCCTTGGTACCCTGCTCCTGCAGACGGAGAGCTGACTGCAGGGATCCTCCTAGGCCGAGAGGGGCTCTCCTGGATCACATTTCACCACCAAAGCAGGTCCAAGGACAGGGAAGTTGCTGAGCCGCTGTTTGCAGGCCTAGTTAGGAAATGGCCCAGTGAACAGACAACTGTTTTGAAATGCAATATAGTATTAAGGCGAAAGGGCTGTCGGGAGTAAGGGAGTAAATCTCGACTGTTTCTCCGCTCTCAGCTGGCTGCTTTAGCTGAGTGAGAAAAGTGACCTTGAAGAAGCCCAAGGCCTGGGAGTCTTAGACCGGTGCGGAAGAACTACCCACTCCCCCTTTTCTTCTAAGTCTGAGGCTCCTGCCTGCCACTTAAGAACAGGAAATAGGGAATGGTTGATTGACAGAGGCAAACGTGGTGGGGTCAGAGCAGAGACAGGAAAACTCAGCGACTCGTGGCATTTGCCTCTGGGATCCCTTATAAAAACTGGATGCAAAGAGCCTCCAGGTGTGCTCCCAGCTTTCCGACAACTCCTCCCAGCCAGGTATGCCTGGGAGACATGAAGAAAGGTTACTGGATATGGTTGTCCCTGAACTGTTATTAGGGTTTAAACTGTGCCCAGCCCCTGGTGGGTGGAGTCAATTCTCTCCTTCTGCTTTTACATTGGTTCCGGGGAACAAATTCAGATCACCAGGCTTTCACAGCAAATGCCCTAACCCACTGATCCATGTCCCAGGCCTGATAACAGCTTTTGATAACTAGAAAATGTTTCTGAGGGTTTGCACTGGCTGTTGACCGCCACCCCTGCTTCCTGCTCTGGTCATGAGCACATGATGTGACATCAGATGTCAGAAGGGGGGGAAAAGATGGATGGGTTTGTGTCTTCTCAGTGTCAGGATTTATTGAATAAAAATAAATTCAGAAAGTCTGGCAGTCTCGTTTACTGCAGTTTGTTGAGAAGGCCCAGTTTGCCTGGGTAGCTGGCCATGGACAAACAATAGTTCTTTTTTTTCCAGTCTTGATTATTATTATATTAATTCTCGGATCACAGATTACATATGCACAGTAATGATTTTCATATCTATAAAATGTGCGTGTGTGTGTGTGTGCGCACGTGCATGCATGTGTGAGCATGTAGCGGAATGGCTACAGAAAGGCTAAGGATCCTAAAGTGTTCAAAATTGCCGAATGAGGCAGAGCCGAAGAAGATAGAGGCAGATAAGATAAACAGGGAAACTCAGAGCCTAGCTTCTGGGTCATGGGTTGAGCCAGCCCTGGAGGTTGAGCTGAGCCACAAGACAAAGTGCAGAACTTTGTCCAGGTAGATGGATGGACAGACAGAGAGATGGACAGCAACTTAATTAGCAACTTAATTACACATCAGTAGTAGGGACTGAGCTAGAGCCCAGGACAATCGCGTCTCTGCCGGTTCATTCCTTCACACACACCCTGAGTTCAGATGATCCGTTGTGGGAGCCGGTATCACCATGGCATTTGGTGTCCTCTTCTTTATGCCATCCCCTGAGAGTGCTGCAGCCTTCCTGGGGCTGGAGTGTTCGGTAAGTTCTTAGCCTGGTTATTCGGATTTTCTTTTTAATTTTCTTTATTTTTAAATTTTTTTTTTGAAAGGCTCCACAATTTATTACTGGAGAACCCACTCCCAACTTAAACATGATCAGGGTTGAAAATGTTGAACTCCATCTGATAACACTCATACAGGACCACGATTCAGCGTAAACTGTCTTGCCATTGTTGACTCCTTACAGACCCAGCTTCGTTCTCCTCCAGTGTCTTCTCTTGGAGTTGTACCTGATTTTGTTGCCAGTTTTCATCCGAATCCACTGAGGAATAGGACGATTTTGCTTTTGTTTCTTGGCCAAGAATCGCTTGATTCTGAAAGTCTTGTGCGAAGACATGGCGAGAAGGCGAGGGGGGCAGACAGCGCACGATGGCGGAGGAAAGGCGAAGAGCTAAATTTTTTTCTTTTTTATTTTTTTTATCTTTTTTTTTGGCACTGTGAAGGCATTAATTTTCTTTTTATTATTTTTATTTACGTGTATGTGTGTCTGCATGAGTGAATGTCAGGTGTATGACTTCCCATAAAAGACAGAAGAGGACATCAGAGCTGAAGTTACAGAGATTGTGAGCCACCATGTGGGGGCTGGGAACCGAACCTGGGTCCTCTGTAAAAGCACCCAGTGCTCTTAACCTCTGAACCATCTCTCCAGCCTTCCCATTTAAAAACTGTTTCTATTTGTGTGTGTGTGTGTGTGTGTGTGTGTGTGTGTGTGCGCACACACATTTGAGGATGCCCATGGAGGCCTGAAGAGGGCATTAGATCCCCTGGAGCTGGAGTTATAGGTAGTTGTGGGCTACCCAACACCCAACATGGGTACTGGAAGCAGAACTCAGGTCCTCTGGAAGAGCAATAGGTGTTCTTAATCACTAAGTCATTTCTCCAGCCCCCAATTTTATTTTGTTTTATTATGAGACAGGGTCTTACTATGCATCCCTGGCTGTTCTGGAACTCACTATGTAGACCAGGCTGGCCTCAAACTCACAGAGATCTGCCTGCACAACTATGCCTAGCCTGATATCGTTTTGACATGCCTATGTGGACCGGGAAAGTGACTTGGCGATACCACGTGACCCCGCTGACTGGCTGTCAAGGCAGTGTCTCTTGCTTCCTCACTGTTGCACCTGTGCTCTTTGCAAAGCTGCATGCTTTGGGGTCAAGGGAATACAAGTAGCTGCATTCTCCTTCTGGGACATCCAAATATGCTTTGAATAAAAGCCCAAGTGCCCAGATGTTCCCAATTGACGTTGACAGGTTTGTAGGTAGAACCCTTTTCCCTTTAGGGATGAGTTCTTTATCAGTCTGTGTCTCACAGGTGGTAGTGTCTGTGGGCTCAATATGCTGTACCAACCCTCTTCTACATCTGCACAGATACTGCTTTGTTAAATGGAATCGCCCAGGGTCAAGTGCAATATGGAGTCACTTAGAGCAGATCTCAGCTCTCTTCCAAGATCCTCCCATTGTGAACCACCAAGGCTTCTCACTTCAGGCCTCTCCCCAGCCAACTCTGGGTGAATTTCTTATTTATTCTGGAGACTTCTTTTCCTCATCAAAACTGTTCCCAAAATTACTTGTATTTGATGAGATTGCCTTTGCCCCATGCACCATCCAATCACACACAACCTGCAACTTTGTCCACCTGGTCAACTCTCTTTAGAAGTCTTAGTTACTTTTCTAACGCTGTGATAAAACACCACACCACAGCACAGGCAGCCTAAAAAAGAAAGAGGTTAATTTGGGTCTTACAATCTCAGAGGGTTAGAGTCCATGACAGTGCAACAAAGTATATGGCAACAGGAACAACTGAGAGCTTATATTCTGTGTGTGTGTGTGTGTGTGTGTGTGTGTGTGTGTGAGAGAGAGAGAGAGAGAGAGAGAGAGAGAGATTGGAATGGCTTTTGAAACCTCAAAGCCTGCCTGCGGTGTTACACCTCCTCCAACAAGGCCACACCTCCTAATCCTTCCCGAACAGTTCCACCAACATGGGAACAAGCATTCAAGCATATGAGCCTACTAGGGCTATTCTCATTAAAACCACCACACATTGTTACTATCTATCCAAAATGGGCTTGCATCTTAGGGGCTGCAACCTTAAGAAATCTCACAGTCACCTGTGCCCTCAATAAATGATAGATTCTGATTGGACAGGTTTAAGTGGGTTCAGAAATCTACAGTCTTGGGCTGGTGGGATGGCCCAGTAAGTAAAGGTGATTGCCACCAAGTCTGGCAACTTGGATCCGCAGAATCCATGCGGTAGAAAGAAAAAAAAAACAAAAACAAAAAACAAAGCCTGCAAGTTATCCTCTGACCTCCACACTTAAATACACATTAAGAAAAACAGGCTGGGTGATGGTGGTGCATGCCTTTAATCCCAGCACTCCAGAGACAGAGGCAGTTGGATTTCTGTGAGTTCAAAGTTAGCCTGGTCTACAGAGTGAGTTCCTGGACAAGCTAAAAAGCTACACAGAGAAACCCTGTCTCGAAAAACCAATAAATAGATAATAAATAAATAAATAAATAAATAAATAATAGCCGTTGTAGACAAGGCTAGCCTTGAACTCTTGGACTCACAGGGCTCCATCTGCCTGTGCCTCTGGAGTGCTGGGACTAAAGTCTGCTGCCACCTGCAGCCAAGGAATGTTGTGTTTACCTGGGATGATGTCAGAGAGCTCTGGAGAGAACCCAGGGACGGGAACACCAGGGCAGGAGGCAGGAGACCCAACATTCCAACTTCCCGCTTTTAAAAAAGTTTTCAAATTATATTGATTTATGGAGTGCATGTATGCTTGTGTGTGTTTTGTGCTTGAGCACACGTGTGCAAGTGCATGCTAAATACATCCGTGGAGGTTGTCCAGGCCCTCAAGTTTGGTGACAAACCAACACCCTTACCCACTGAGCCATCTCATGAGTCTGACTTCCTATTTCACTGTCTCCTTCACAGAGATAGAGGAAAGGTCTGCCTCTGGGGAAGAGCAGAGAGAAGAGGAATTGGTGGCTGGGATGGGTGGAGAGCCCACCCAGGGTCACACTCTGGACAGTCATAGGGCCGGCAGGATGGCAGAGAAGCCCAAAGAGCATATAGCTTGCTTATCTGTAAGATGGTAAGAGCCCCTACCTCCGGGGACCACTGTGGAGGTGTGGCAGAGTCACCTTCCTGGCTAAGCACTGCCATTGGGAGCTCTGAGCCGGGCCTCATCTCCCAGTCTGTACTGTGGAAAAGAAGCTCCTTACCTGGGAAGGTCCCCGTGGTACACTGAACGGAGTGGGCTGCTTGGCTGATTTCTGGCAGGCCTCAGTTGTGAACCCCTTCTCAGTTTCCCCTTCTGTTCATCTGCTATAGTCCAAAGAGTAGCCCAACTGGCAGGACCCGGAGGCAGCATCGCAGCATCTTACTTTCTGTGTTTTGCCTGCCTCTCTTTCCTTTTGCTCCCAGATGTTCCCTGTTCCTGTCTGTTCTTCCTTTTTTTTGATTTTGTTTTTTGTCTGTTTGTTTTTGTTTTTGCTTTTCAAGACAGGGTTTCTCTGTGTAGCTTTGGAGTTCGTCCTAGTCTTGGAACTCACTTTGTAGACCAGGTTGGCCTTGAACTCAACAGAGATCCACCTGCCTCTGCTTCCTGAGTGCTGTGCCACCATCACCCTGCCCATCTGACTTTACTTAATTTTTTTTTATTTTGCTATATATGAGTGGTTGCCTGCATGTGTGTGTGCCTGGTGCTTGTGGAACCCACTATGAGCTATCTCTCCAGCCCCAATCCTTTTTTTTTTTTTTGAGACTGAGTCTCATTGTGTGGCTGACTGGTTTGGAATTCCTAGGTTGATCACAGAGATCTGCCTGTCTTTGCCTCTGAGTGCTGGGGATTAATGGTATGTGCCACCATGCCCAGCTTTGACCTTACTATTACTATTTCTTAAGGCCAGTGTGCACTTTTTGGGGTGTGGATATCAAGCAGGCTCCCAGGGACTTGGTAGGTAAAAATGGGCCCATATCATTGGTTTTCAAAGTAAATTACAAAATCAGTTCTGAAGCTTCATATTCACTCTCCCCTGCACACACCACAAATAAATAAATAAATAAATAAATGTAATAAAAATATTAAAAAGACAAGGACCTTGGAGGAAATTGATTGGTTACTGGACTTAACCGGGAGGAACTGCTTCAGAAGGCCCATGAATGGGTTAACTTTGTAAAGCAGGGCAGAAGTGAGGATCAGCGAGAGAAGACTTGTAAAAGAGAAAGAAAGGGACTGTGGGCCCTTGAGTGACAACAAGAAAGACGACTGCTACGCCCAGAACTGATCACAGGCCGCCTGCTCCTGCCAGGTCCCACTTTATCGAGACCACAATTGCTCTTAAGACCCTCAGGCGTGCCATCAGCGGTTCTGAACTTGCATAATGCCTGAACTCTGCCTTCTCATCAGCAGGGAGGAGACCAGCTGGAAACCCAAGAAGCTGAAGTTTCAGCGGCTGCTCAGCTCCATCACACTCCCAGAATAGCGCACCGGTTCCCGGCAGCCTGAGCCGCACCACAACTGGGCTTCCGGTGAGAGAGACAGTCAAGCCCCAGCAGCAGTGGGAACAGCTGGCCCTGGACTTAGCCCAGAACCAGCTGGCTGGCCCCTCCCTGCCTTGTCCTGCCCTGCCCTGCCCTGCCCTGCCCTGCCCTGCTGGAGGCATCATCTCTGGCGAGTGCAGGCAAATGAGGCCCATCACCCACCAGAGATCTGAGCTGAGCTCAATAATATTTTGGGTGGTCTCAAATTCCAGATGAGAGGGGGAGCAGTGACTGGGTCTTTTAAAAATTTTTGTTGAGCCAGGTGTGTTTGTGGGAGGCTTGAGACAGGAGGATTGCCATGAATTTGAGGCAAGTCTGAACTGCAGACTGAAACCCTGGCTAACCAACAACAATCAATAACCAATACAGGGCTGAAGATGTGGCTCAGTTGGTGGAGTGCTTGCCCAGGATGCAAGGAGCCCTGGGTTCACCCCTAGCACGGAATAAACCCTTTGTGGTGGAGCCCACCTGAATCTCAGCTCACAGGAGGCAGAGGTGGGAGCATCAGAAGTTCAAGGTCATCCTTGGCTACTCAGTCAATACAAGGCCAAACTGGGCTACCCGAGACTCTGCCTTAAAAATCAGTCAATCAAACAAACACAATAAATAAAGAAGGCTTTGTTTTGTACAGCATGTTGGTAGTGGCTGGATTAGCCATAGGAGAGCCATGTTGGTGGAGTCTGCAGAGGTTGGTGAACGGCTAAATGGCTGCTGGCTGTGTAGAGTCGAAGTGACCACTGGGGCCAATGACCACCAGCAGAGAATGGGAACAGGCTGCAGCTGGTGAAAGGAAGGCTGAGAAGGGAAGATAGAGGAGCACACAGTGGGCTTGGCTGCAGGTGTGCTCTGCAGCCCTAACTTAACCTCCTTAGGCAGGCCCTTGCAGTTCTTTCATATGCTAATTCCCTTTACAAAAGTTAACTGAAGCCTCACTGAGTGCAAGCAAAAAAGGGAAGCCCAAAGACCTCAGGCTCACACCTTTCCCTCAAATCTTCCGTGTTGGCTGAGGACACTCATACATAAATAACAATCCACTAGGCAGAAAATGGTGAGGAGGTGGGGTGTGGGCACAGTCCAATACAGTAGAAATCAAAGCGCTAAAATAAATGGTTCTAACTCATGGTTGGTTTTAGCCTCTATGAATCTGTTTATGAAAATCTATAAAACAGAGACAATAAGATCTGCCTTCTGGAACCCTATCTACCTTTAATAGTACCTGTCTTGTGAGATCCTATTTATCATTTGGATAGCTACAGGGTTGTAAACATCATTTGTATAAAAGACAAAAATGGTTCAAAGCTATACAGAGGTAAACCATCACAGGTATTCTATTATCAACTAGGCTTCATCTCTGAGCCCATCAGCACCGGAGTCAGGGAGTCGGGCCTGGTTGCCTTTTAGACTCCAAGCACCGGGCCCCATCCATCCCTTTACAGAAGCTTGTCAGCTTCCTACGGCCCTTGACAATCAATCCGATCAATCCACTTGATAGCTAGTGCCTACATTTTAGATGCATACCGTCCTGTGCCAGGGGCTGCTGGGAAGGAGAGCTTTGGAGTCTAGAATCCATTCTCAGCAGAGACTGTCAGAGAACAGGGGAGGCAAAATGTCTATGCATAAGGTTTCATTAACAATACGGTCAGGTGAAGGGAGAGGTTCAGATCATGAGTTCAGACCCTTGGGCGGTCATCTCAAAAATGACTTTATTGCACTTCTTTTTAAAAAAAAAATATTTATTTTTATTTTATATGCATTGGTGTTTTGCCATGGGTGTCAGGTTCCCTGGAACTGGAGTTACAGACAGTTGTGAGTCACCATGTGGGTGCTGGGAACTGAACCCCGAGTTCTCTAGGAAGAGCAGTCAGTGCTCTTAACTGCTGAGACATCTCTTCAGCCCCCATTCATCTCAAAAAACAACTTTAAAAGTTAACAATGTAAAGAAGGAAGCCAGGAGTACTGAGCCACACCTGTCGTCTCAGCATTCAGGAGACAGAGAAAGGCAGAAGGGTTGGAATTCAAGGTCATTCTTGCTTACTTAGAGAATTTGTGGTCATCCAGGCTAAGCAAAATCAGCCAACCAACCAATCGAACAAACACTAAATAATGGAAGATTCCTAGACAGGTCACCAGCAATCTTTCCAATAGGATCCCCAGGGCTTCAAAGTGGGGATGGCTCCGGCGGGGCCGAGAGGAGGGGGAGGACATCCGGGACTGAGAATGGGAGCCAGCGGGAGTGAACCCCAGGAAGGCCAGTGTGGGAGGCTGGCTGGGGCCTCTCTGGCTGGAGTGACTGTTTCCTGTGGGGACAAGGAAGGATCTTCCTTGTAGCAGGCAGGCCAGGCCAGAGGGAGTTTGGACCTTGACTCAGCGGCCATGGAAACCATTATCAGCTAAGGTCAGAGCCAGAGAACATCTCTCATTGGATGAGGCTTTGCATGACGAGGGGGAGGAGCGGCGTGGTAGGTTTGGGGGCGGGGGTCAAGGGTCAGTCACAAAGTATGCTCACTCCTGAAAGGTTCTCAGATTGGGGTGACACTCTCTAAGTTAGGGAGACCAGAATGCAACATGGTCACATGTTTCTGTCTTGGTTTGTGGAAGAGCTGGGTGAGTTGAATGTCTTGAATGCCTAGACTTGGATTTGAGGCTTGATTCTTAGGCTATGCTTTGGCCTCTGTTGATGAGCACTGGCCAGACCCTTAGGAAGGTCTTAGAAAATCCAGCTCTTCCTTCCCAAGGGAAGTTAGTTACTGCCATTGAGCCACTGAATGTAGAAGGGGGCCAGCGGGAGGTTGACACAGGACAAAGGAGGCACAGGTTTTGTGGACTGGACGGGTTCAGCATCAGGTGACATTCCAGCAGGCTCTACCCAAAGCCCGCTTCCGGGTACAATTTCTGAGAGATCAGCCACGGGTAGCCAGTAGTGGGGAGTGTGTGTTTAACTCCCTTGGATCCTGGCTTCCTGCTTCTTAAAGTGACCCTCCTGGTATGAATCCTCTCAAAATAACCTGGCAGGCTCAGCTCGCAGCAGGAAGCCCTGGAAGCTCCAGGGGAAAGGAGCCCCTTACTGCACCTGGGGCAGTAATGTCTGCCAGAGGACCAGAAGCAAGGCGGTAAAATACAAACAGTCTGCCAGCAGCAGTGGGACTCCCAGGCACCACCAACTCCTCCACACAAGTTCCAGGCCCCACCCTCAGCTCAGTGTGGGTATCCTGCCTGCCTTTCTCCCACCCACTCCCCTTCCTTTTTCTTTCCTTTTTGGGGGTGGATGGATAGGACCTGGTCTCAGGAAACCCAGGCTAGCCTCCAATTCAATATATAGTCCAGAAAGAACTCATGGTCTCCCATCTAGCTCAAGTGCTTGGATTACAGGATGGTCTGACTCTGAGGGACTGTTTTTAATCCATCAGGGCCCTTGATCTCCAAGTCAGGACTCGTCTCTCTGGCTCCCTTTAGAGATTCTCCATGTTGTGGTCCAGGATTCCTGCTTCTGGGACAAACTGAAAGTTCCTTCTTGGGAACACGCGTGACCTGTAGCACATGGGTTAACTATACCCAAAATGGGTCACTAGATTTCTACCCTGGCTTTCTCTTTGTTTTGTTTTGACAGGGTTTCTCTGTGTAGCCCTGGCTGTTCTGGAGCTTTCTCTATAAACCAAGCTGGCCTTGAACTCAGAGATCTGCCTGCCTCTGCCTCCCGAGTGCTGGGCCGAAAGGCATGCGCCACCACTGCCCCGCTCTGCCCTGGCTTCTAATATGGAGCCTTGCTGGCAGGGTCAGGGTGGCTAACTTCTCCAGCAGGCATAAAGTTTGCCTATGGCTCAGGAAGTTGTAATGTTGTGGGGGCAGGGCAGGTAAGGCACTACTGGCAAGGTCATTGGTGTGAGGGGAAGGTCGGGCAGCATTTGTACAGAATGGGCAGTTCAGAAGCATCCACTAAAAACACCTACCATGTGTCAGGCTGTCTGTCGGATACTAGGACCAGAGGAGTCCCTGCTCTTGCGCTGTCTAATTGGGAAGACAACTTATTTATTTATTTATTTATTTTTTAATATTTATTTATTATGTATACAATATTCTGTCTGCGTGTATGCCTGCAGGCCAGAAGAGGGCACCAGACCTCACTACAGATGGTTGTGAGCCACCATGTGCTTACTGGGAATTGAACTCAGGACCTTTGGAAGAACAGGCAATGATCTTAACTGCTGAGCCATCTCTCCAGCCCCTTGGGAAGACAATTTAGAAGATTAATTACAACATACTAGGATAATCATAAATAACTGAATGTATGATAGGTTGTGTGTGAACAAGGCAACTCAGGATGGTTCTCTCTTTAAGAAGAAATTTCTAAGGTTCATTTGTTTTATGTCTATAACTGTTTTGCCTACATACATTGCATGCATGCTTGCTGCATTTATCTCTGGTGCCTGAGGTCGAAGAGGGAGTTCTGGATAGTTGGGAGCCACCCTGTGGGTGCTGGAAACTGAACCTGGGTCTTCTGCAAGAGCAACTAGCGCTCTTGTTTGCTTGCTTGCTTGTCTTTTAGAGACAGGGTTTCTCTGTGTAGCCCTGGCTGTCCTAGAACTCACTCTGTAGACCAGGCTGACCTCAAATTCACCAAGATCTGCCTGCTTCTGCCTCCCGAGTGCTGGCATTAAAGGTCTATACCAGCAGTGCTCCTAACTTCTGAGCTGTCTCTTGAGCCCCCTTAGATAGTCCTTTCTGACCCAGGCATGGTGGTGCACACCTTTAATCCCAGCACTTAAAAGGCAGAGACAGGTGAATCTCTGTGAGTCTGAGGCCAGCCTGGTCTATAAAGTGAGTTCCAGGACAGCCAGGGCTACACAGAGAAACCTTGTCTCAAAAAAAGAAAAAAAAAATCCTTTCTGGGGTAAATGAGGAAGGCTTCTCAGAGGTAGGGGCATCGAGGCAGGGAAGAGTTTTAAAACTTTTGCTCAGAGACGAGGGGTAGAAGGCAGGGCTTGAAGACAGAAAGGCCAGTGCAGACCACAGCTCAGCGGGCAGACAGGCAAGTCTTCTCTAGTGATGGTGAAGTGGAATTGGAAGAGTGTGGGAGAAGAAACTTCTTTCAGTGTGTGGTTTCAGAACAATTAGCTGCCTTTTGTGGAGAGATCTATGACTCCGAGGGCTGGACCATCACACAGGAAGGAGAGTCTGGCCTCAGACCCATCTGTAAGTGCCAGGCACGGGGGAGGGGGGGCATTCTAGACAAGTTGTATTTGGAGGGTGGGGTTAACGTTCTCAGTTTTCAAAAGAGGAAAGTGAAGGGGTCAGAGTCACACACCTAGCCGGTGGCACTTGTGAGACTGAGATTGAGGGGTCCTCTGGCAGCTCAAAGATAGAAGTGAATCAAGATAGCATCAGCCTGCCTTTCAAACAGGAACAGACACCTAGAGTGGAGGAAGGTGGGGACAGCCTGTGCTCCTGCCAACCCTGTAACTCCAGGAGAGCTTGCAAGGGCCAGAGGGCAGTTCCTGCAATGGGCCTTTTCTTTCTTCCTTCCTTCCTTTCTCTCTCTCTCTCTCTCTTTTTTTGTTTGGTTTTTTCTTGGGGGGAATTGTTTTTTGTTTTTCAAGACAGGATTTCTCTGTGTAACAGTCCTACCTGTCTTGGAACTAGCATTGTAGACTAGGCAGGACTTGAACTCACAGAGATCCGCCTGCCTCTGCCTCCCGAGTGCTGGGATTAAAGGACTGTGCCACTGCCTCCCGGCGCAATGGGCCATTTCTGATGGCTATTATATTTTTG